TAAGCTTCCCACCTCTGGATGTGTATTTTAATATACATGCTAAGGATGAACCTTTTACTTCTGGATTTTGCCTGGGTATTCTTGACCATAGCTTAAGCAAAATGCCACGTTACCTTTCCTTATTCCAGTAACAGGCACACTTGCAAAATTCTTTAGTCCAGTTACAAATCTACAATTGGTCAGCTAGGCTAACACTTCCGATAACTGAAGCCTTTGTGGTTGGTGTCTTTAGCTTCTTCTGGTAAGTATAAAAGTAGGTATTAGCTAACTGCTTATCTTAACAATGGCTATTTCAAAGCAAAAGCATAAGCAAAATAATAAAGTACCGGTAATTTTCACTAAAGCAGATTTGTGACTTATAAAAACTCTTAATTAAGGTGACCAGATTTTCAGTTTGGAAAAGAGGGANCCAGCACAATGAGTAACCCCTCCCAAATACCATGCCCTCCCTCCCCGTTTCATGGCAGCCGAAGCAACAGCAAAGCAGAGGCTGACATCCTGGGACAAGAGTGCCAGTGTCATTGTGATGTCTGTCTAAATGCATTGGATCAATGACTGCAGACTGTGTCTCCTCTCCTGTGAGAGGTAGACCACACACAGGGAAGTGTCTATGACTGCTCCCAAGTGAAGCAGTTAGGTGGTTGGAACGAAATGACTTTTCTTGGTGTTGATGAAAAAGCCATGATCCTTGAGAACCTGAACAGTGACCCGAAGGTCTACCTCTGCCTTAGTCTGTGATGAAGACTGGATTAGGATGTTGTCTAAGTAGCATTGATGTCTGATAGGGAAGGACTGCAGGTGGGCCGCTACCAACAATTGCTGCCAACAATTTTGAGAAGATCTAGAATTGCTCTCCACCCCCACCCCCACAATTGGAATTGCAAACAGGATGGAATAAAACCCCAGCCCCTGTTGTTCCTGATGGACTGGTTGAATGGCCTGGATCTCCAGCAGATGACCAATAGCTGTGTCCATCAGGCCTCTCTTTGTTGCATCCCTGGAGACAGGGCAGCTGAGAAAAAACTCTGGGGGCTTGGACAGAAATTCCAGTGTTAGGCCAAATTATACCATATCAAGGACCCACCTGTCCGATGTTGTAGCCTCCCATTGGTGTAGATAGAGGCTGAGCCATCCTCCGATGAGAGGGTTGGCTCTGCAGTCACTTAGAGCAATGGAAGGGTTGACTTCCTGCCGCTCCAAAAGGCTGCTTGTCCTGAAATTGCTGATAACTCCTGAAGTCCGATCTGTCAGGCTGTCTGTCCTGCCTGCCCGAGAATGGTCGATGGGCCTGCTGGTAGTCAATGCCTGAGTCTGGCATCTGAAATCACTGACTGCAAAAATAAGGAGATGGTAATCTGTCTCTTTGTCTAAACAAGGAAGGCATGGCCTTGCCCCTACCTTTGGTGTCCACCAGGATAGGGTCCAAAGCCTCACCAAACAGCTTCTTGCCCATGAACAGGGCCGACACCAACCTCAACTTGTTTTTGTTATCTGCCTGCCAATGGCAAAGCCACAGTAGACGTTGGGCAGTCACTGAAGGTGCCATAGACCTGGAGGAAAATTTGGCCACATTCAGAGAGGCATCAGCAGAATATTCCACCACTGCCACCAATTTGTTAAGATCTTGGTGCAACCTGACCTCTTTCAATGAAATCCTAGCCTTCATCTGATGAAACCAGAGCAGGGAGGCCCTGGTAAAAAAGGAAACTGAAGTGGCTGCCTTCAGGCTGCCCATGCTGCCACCTGGCGGGCTTGCGGAAGGCTAGCTCCGCCAATTTGTCATCAGTCTTAAGGCCATCTATGGCATCCACAGGATGGATGCTGAAGTCAAGGCTGCCACCGGAACATCTACAGATGGTGTTTGTAGAATCTCTGAAAGATCTGAATTCACATTATACAGCCTTTTCTCAACACTAGATGGGGAAGGACCAACCCCAGGCTTGGACCATTGCCTCTGTACCACATCCAGGAAGAGCTTGGGTGCTGGAACAGCCTCGTTCATGATGTCCGGCTCTGAAAATAGGCCATGATCTGAACCACCTGCGCCCTGGGCTGTGTCAAGGACTGGGGGAGAACCCAGCTCCATTACCTTCTTGGCCTTATGTAATAGTGATCTAAAAGAGTCAGGCCGAAAGAGTCCAGTAAATGGCAAAGGGTCAGGGGGGATCTCCTCCTCCTCTGAGAGTGCTGTGAATTCTCCCTCCTCCACAGAGGAGGCCTCACTCCTCACAGATGCAGTCTGAGCAGATAACCTGGGTGGGTCTAGCCATGTCTCTTGACCCATAGGAAAATCATGATGCCCTCGCAAAATGGGAAGATCCCTGGCAGAAAAACCCAATTGTTGAAGACCAGAAGCTACTCCCTGCGAAATGGCTCTAAAGTATGGGTGAAATCCAGCAGGTTCTGACAGGTTCTGCAGAACTGGTAGCGGAAATTTTGGGTAGTTTGGAGAACCAGTAGCAGAAATTTTGAGTAGCTCAGAGAACTGGCAAATACCACTTCTGGTTGGCCCCAGAGTGGGGTGGGAATGGAGATTTTGCAGTATCCTTCTCCTGCCACCCACACCAAGCCACATGACACCCACCAAGCCACGCCCACAGAACCAGTAGTAAAAAAAATGAATTTTACCACTGCTCTAGAGACCAGTGATTGAAGATGGTCTGGCAACTGCAAAGTATCCTCCTCATCCCCAGGGTGTAATCCAACCACAGTTGGGGTAAAAGTAGCTGGTGGAGAGGGACTGGTTCCCGGGACTGTATCCATTAGATTTGCAGAAAAAACATCTCTTGGCTCCACTTGCATTGTGGAAAGCCTCTCTCTAGCTCCATCTGGTGACCAAGAACTGAGAGGTGCTGTGATCCAATGGAGAACCAATTGCTTGGCTAACAGATGGGTGGGAGGCTTCCGCCCCTCCTGCAGAAATCTCTCCCAGGGTCTGGGCACTTCCAGCCCTCATGGCTCTTCCTAGCTCTTTTTCCAGGGTTCATTGGCACCTTTCAGCATCCTTCTGAACCACCCTGGACTTCCTGATGCTAGAAGCCTTCTTCCAGTGGCTCCTCTTGATCCCGGCACAGGCTGCTAGCCTATTGGCTGCCAGGTGGAGAAGGAGGAGAGTGTTTAAAAAAATAAAATTCAGGGCAAACAAATATATCTGGAGAATTCAAGGAGGTTTTTTGAGATAAAAATTTTTTTCTGGATTTTTAAAAATAATCCCTTCACTTCTTTCTTCTAAAGTGATGTTGGTTTTTTGGTTTGGTTTTTTTTTTGTAAGCAGCTAGTGATTACAAAGGGAACTAGACAACTAGAACTAGACAAATAGACACTATCGCCATTATAATTTATACCAACACTAGAGATTTTGAATAGGGAAATACGACAAAATAAAGAGGTAAAAGATATGAGGGTCAAGAAAGAAGAATATAAAGTACAAGCGTTTGCAGATGATTTGGTGTTTATTATGGAGGATCCATAATAGAGCCAAAACTAGTTAAAATAATAGAAGAATATGGAGAAGTAGCGGACTTGAAGATTAATAAAGATAAAACAAACATTCTGGTGAAAAATATGACAGAAAAACAGAAAAGAGAATTGATGGGGAAATTGGACTTACACGTGGTGAAAAAAGTGAAATATTGGGTGTTTAATTGACATCAAGGTGTGTAACACTAAAGGGGGATAACTATTATAAAATACAAATAGATCTGAAAAGATGGAAAAAGCTACAATTATCATTGATGGGAAGAATAGCAGTAGTAAAGATGAATATATTACCAAGGTTGCTATTCCAAACAATACCAATAAAATTAGAGAAAAAATTGTTTGAAAATATGAATAAAATAGTGGGGAAATATATATGGCAAAGGAAAAAAGCAAGAATTACTATAAAAATGTTGCAAGATGCAAGGATTCAAGGTGGATTTGGATTACCAAATTTGGAATTGTACTATCAAGCAGCGGGACTAGTTGGATGAAAGAATGGATTTTACTGAGAAATACAAGATTATTGACATTTGAGGGTCATGATTTGCAATTGGGTTGGCATGCTTTTTTGTGGTATAAAAGTAGAACACATAGCTATTTTCAAGACATTATGTAAGGAATGGATTATTAACAATATGGGAAAGAGTGAAAGGGAAACATTATTCAGAAGTACCAATGTGGCTGAGGATGGTTGTCACAATTGCAAATACAATCAAGATATGAAAAAGATAAAAGGGAGTAGCCACGCGAGCGATAATGGGTGTACTTAGATACACCTATGTTACACCTATCCTCCGCAAGCTGCACTGGCTCCCCATTGGTCTCCGGACCCGCTTCAAGGTGCTAGTCGTTACTTTTAAATCACTACATGGTATAGGACCTGGCTACCTGAGAGACTGCCTCCTGCCATTCACCTCCCAACGACCAATAAGGTCGCACAGGTTGGGCCCCCTCCAGGTGCC